TTACATGCTATCTAAATGGGGACATTCCATAGGCATAATGGTTTTTATACTGTACAAACTGTATTTTCTATCACCCTACACCTAACCCTACCGCTTACAGGAAACTTTCTGCATTTTTACAATTTAAAAAAAACTTTGTTTACTTTATTTTTATACCAGTTTTACAAATGAGGACGTCCCCAAAGGGAGGTTTTTGGAGATTTTGTCAGGTTTAGCTCACTTTTGGGTACAAATTTGTCCCCAAAATATGGTTAAGTAGGTACACACACACTCACTCACTCACTCACACAAATCATGTTGGCTGTCATGTATGTTTTGTTGACCTTGGTTATTTTGTATTTGATTTGTCACAGGTAAATTGTATATCTGTTTGCATAATAATAATAATAAAAAAAAGATTAAAAACTAACAATACCCCTGGTACAGATGGATACATTGCCGAGAGATGTATAAAACCTTTTGAGAACGTCTAGGTTCGGCATGTTACCTTGGTTCCCTGAATAGGGAAGGAGATGGTGCATTAGTAGCTGATGCTATTGGAACACCCCCCAGGTGTAACGATCGGCTGAAGCCCATTTATTGAAAGCCGCCCCTGCACTCCCCCCACTCACTGTCATGGACAGCACTGTGGCTGCATTAGAGTCATTCAGGTTCCTGGGCACCACCATCTCTCAGGACCTGAAGTGGGACACTCCATAGACTCCATTACTAAAAAGGCCCAGCAGAGGTTGTACTTCCTTCGTCAAACTGAGGAAATTTAACCTGCCACAAGAGCTGCTGAAACAGTTCTACTTGGCCATCGAGTCCGTCCTGTGTTCATCCATAACTATCTAGTTTGGTTCAGCTACCAAATCAGACATCAAGAGACTACAACAGACAGTCAGGACTGCTGAGAAGATTATTGGTTCCCCCTGCCCAACCTCCAAGATCTGAAGAAAATCACTTTGGACCCCACACACCCAGCTCACTCTCTCTTTCAACTGTTGCCCTCTGGTCAGCGCTACAGAGCACCGAACACGAGAACAGCCAGGCACAAGAACAGTTTTTTTTTTTTTTTTATATTCAGCCTGAACAATTAAAACTTTCAGAACTATGCATTGTCCATTATAACTGACACATTTATACGTAGCCAGGGCCGCATTAAGACCTCAATTGGCCCCGGGGCTATGACTTACTGCAGGGCCCCCCGTCACAATAATGATATAGCTTAACATAGGATTTTTATCCAATCAAAGTTTCATAATTCTTGTTACCAATTCCAATATCTCAACAAAAAAAAAAAATACTAGCCTATGTAAAAACAAACTTGCTGAAGACAAGTAAACAGTCATGAATTACAATAGAACAAAGAAATTGACCTACAAACACTTAAAGCACTGAATAAGAAATATATTGTATAAAATAAATAGACTAGAAATAGACTGAATAGTCTTCACTGTATAAATTCAATATACATTATTTTACAAATATAAATGTATTTTACAGTGATTTTCTTTCTAATGTTTAATTTACATTATTGACACAAATGGCAAGAGCAGCTATATTAGGCTGCTTTGGAGGAATAGTTCACCCAAAAATTAAAGTTATATTGTTGTTGTTCTAAACCTGAATGAGTTTCATTCTGCTGTTGAATGCAAACGTATGTATTTGGAACAATAGCCTACTGGTAACCAAACAGTGTCTGTGACCCCAGATGACTTCCATAGTATGGAGAGAGAGAGAAAAACACTATTGGAGTCAACAGGGACCAGAAACTTTCTGGTGGTTACGAATATTCTTCAAAATATCTTC